ACTCCTGTTCTAACTCAATGCTATCCTACTGGTCTTACTCAGAGACAATCACTGGTACCTATAAATCACCATAAGCTGAGTAAATACTGATTAAATTGAGCTGGGGTCTCAAAATTATTCACACCAGGTCTTCAACTGCTCTGCCTCTGCCCTTCAAACCTCAGGGAACTCTGAGCCTTTTCCATCCTATCTTTCTACTTTCTCTCCCAATGAAGCTTCTAGAGAGCTAGGCCTGTCTTACTTTTATTACTTGTATCCTCAGGGCTTAGCATGCAGTAATAGCTAACATTTATATAGCTTTAAGGTTTGAAAAGAGCTTCACATATATCATCCCCCTCTGCTCTTCTTCCCTAACACTCGTGCTTTCCAGAATGCTTAGCGAGCCACCTTCCGCCATTAGAATGAATGCTCTTTGAGGGTAGCAGCTGTTCTTCTTGCTTGTATTTATATCCTCAGCACTCAACACAGTGACGGCATACACAGTAAGTGGTTAATAAATACTTTATCTGGCTTGATCCTCACAACAGCACTGTTGAGTTAGGGGTTATTATTAGTATCATTTTACAGGTTAATAACACGTCCAGGGTCACACACAGAAGTCCTGAGATAGGAATCTAACTCATATTTTTCTGATTCCATGTCCAACACTATCCATTATTCCATTTTGCTGCCATAATAAGCACTTAATAAAGGCTTTTTCATTCCTTCATTCATGATCACTTTGTTCTTTCTTATTGCTTACAATATAATATTATATTTAGGAATTCTGCCAAGAATATAAATCAAGTTCATCAGCTTATACAGTATTTTGAAGTATCTATCTTTCTCATTTTAAAAAATGAGATATTTGCTTGTCTCTGGTCCCAAGTTAACTCTTGTTCTCCAGGATTCTTCCAAGAGACAATCACTCAGGCTTAGTTTAGTAATCACATCTACATATTCCTCTAGTACCCTGGGAGATAGTCCTTAAACATTTATTAAGCAAGCACATCTTCTAGTCTAGGGGAACTTATTAAAGGAACTGACTAAAGTTTGTTAAATCCTTTTACAATCAATCCCTTCATTTGTCTTCTAATGCTCTGTTATCCATTTTTGTCCTCTCCTTTCTAGTCTGAAATCATTCTCCTTGGTGGAAAAAAAGAGAAGCAAAAGATAAACCTAGGACTTCTCCTAGGTGGTTAATTGGTTTATCATCATCTTTCCAGCTACCTCAAGCAAGGATCTGATCCTTTCCTCGATCTTGTCCTCAAGCCTAATTTCAGAAACCCTTTTCATTGTCATTAGCATTTATCAAAAACTCATGTTAACTTTAGCCTTCTGAATGCTTGGGACCTTCCATATTTATCATTTGTTACCTATCCTTGCTTTTATCTGTCTTTTGTTGATGGCCTTCAGAAATGCGATAACTTCACTTATAACTTCTTGGTGCAGTTCACTGGATTCTTTACAAATGTTTCCATCTTCTTCTGCATCAAAATCGTTTGTCATTCTTGCCAGAATTTACTTATTGAGAGCCTCCAATGCTTCTTGAGTAGACTTTCCTTTTATAACTCCATCTCTGGACATGACTTAGTCACATCATAAACAAATTAGAGGAGCAAGACGGATTATGCCTTTTGCAAATATGTATAGTGAAAGAGTCCATGACCAAAAGAGAGAGAGGACCACAGGAAATTAAGTGGACAATTCCACTTGTACATAATTAAAAAGCTTTTGCACAAACAAAACCACTGAAGTTAAAATTAGAAGTAATCAGGAAGAATCATATGTAAAAAGGTAATGAGGGGAAAAAAATCTTTTCGGCAAGTTTCTGACAAAGGTCTCCTAGCCAAGATATACAGTATACCAAAAGTCTAAACAGTTTTAAGCCACTAAATTGATTTGGATGTGTAAAAACAAGAGTCATTCACCAATGGATTAAATGATCAAAAGATAGGAACAGTTTTCAAAAGAGAAATCCAAGTTATCAATAACCATATAAAATGATCCAAATGGCTAAGAGAAATGGCAGATTAAAAAAAAAACCCTGAGAATTCAGTTCAGAGCCATAAGCTTGACAAAGATGATAAAAAAGGAAAATGATATGTTGGAGGGGCTGTGGGAAAATAGGCATACTAATGTACTGTTGGTGGAATTATGAATCAGTTCAACAACGGAAAGCAATTTGGAACTGAATCCTCAAAGTCAATAAACTGGATATACCCTTTGCCCCATTGGTACCACTATTAGGCATTTTTCCCAAAGAGATTTTACAAAAAAAAAAAAACAAAACAAAAAAACCCAAACCCTTTATAGACAAAAACAATTATAGCAGCTCTTTTTGTGGTGGCAAAGAATTGAAAATGTGGGGTTCCCATCAACTGGGGAATTATGGAACAAATTATGGCATATAAATGTAAAGAAATATTATTGCAACATAAGAAATGAAAGGTTTCAAAGAAATCTGGGAAGACTTACATGAACTGATATAAAGTAAAGTGAATAGACCCAGGAGAAGTTTATATAATAACAACAACATTATAGAGAAAAGCAACTTTGAAAGATTGTAGAACAATTGATTGACGCAATAACCAGAGGACCATATGCTATCCATGTTTTGTTTTTGGCAAGGCAATTGGGGTTAAGTGACTTGCCCAGGGTCACACAGGTATTAAGTGACAAGTGTCTGATCTGAGACTGGATTTGAACTCAGGTCCTCCTGACCGCAGGGCCAGTGCTTTCTCCATTTCACCACTTAGCTGCCCTATCCGTTTCTTGATAGAGAGGTCAGGGACTCAAGATGCAGCATAAGACATCAATTTTTGAACATTATGTGGGAAATTGTTTTGCTTGGCTATGCATATTTATTACAAGGGTTTTGTTTTTCTTTTCTTAATGGGGGAGTGGTAGGAGGGAGAGAGGATAAATTCTGGTTAACTGAAAATAAAAGTTAAACATTAAAAAATTAAAAAAAACTAACTAGAACAAGTTAAATTTCAGGGCCATTTCTAATGACCACTGTCATTATAGGTCACATTTATATAACTCTTTGAGGTTTGCCAAGCTTTTTATGTATATTATCTTATATGATTCTCATATCAACCTTGTGAGGTAGATGGTATTATCCTTATTTTGCACTTGAGGAAACTGAGGTTTAAAGAGGGGAAAGTACTTATCCATGATCACACAGCTAGGAATAAGTAATCAGAAATAAGAATTAATTAAGCACTCTGTCAGGCACTGTACTAGTAAGTGTCTGGGGTAGGATTTCAATCCAGTTCTTCCCAGAGCTTTGTATTACGGTTTTAGGATCAAGGAAAAGGCCTCCCTCAGGCCTCCTGGTCCCCTGCCAGTTTCCCTCAGTATCTTCCATAGGCTTCAAATGTGTTCCTTTCACATAAAACCAGGTTTTTCTCGGCACAACTAGAGACAAACATTTAAATGCAAATAGCTTGGGAGAGACAACCAGATGAATGAGATCTAGCCCTACTGCTGACTGAGCTAAGCTCACAAGTAAATTGCAGTCTTGATGACAACCCATAATCCCTGCTTCCCCTAAGGATAGACTCCCCAAGAGGCCCTGCCCAGTTTGCCAGTGGGCAGAGGGTTCTCTTGCTATGACTGTACAGGCAGGGTGCTCTCCCATGCAGGGAGACATCCTGACCCTTTGGTGAGAATCTTGGGCCTCTGCCTCTGGCCAACAGAAACTCATCTCCCCTCTGGCACAGATGCTGCTCCTCCGGGCCACGGCAGGAATTCCTAGCATCTCCATTGTTATGTTTAGTCTTCCCTGCTCCTCGTCTCTGGCTCCTCCTTTCCAACCTTTCTCCACTTTCACCAGCGTATTTATCTACAGTAGAATTCTATATTTTGACCAGCTACAGCTGTGGTGACTATAGGTCCTAGATTTCCCAGGGAAGTGTTAATTCCAAGAAAACAAAGTGCAGGAGGTTTTTCAAAAGGGATTATCTGTTATGAGACTATGTGTCCCAATTCTTAGTTTAGAGAATTAGGTCATGGGAGCTCTTTCATCTTTAACTTCTAATTGACTATTCTCTCGTAATCACGAGCCAGCTTGCCTGCATGGTAATATACACTCTGCTCATTATCCAGTTTTGGCAATGACAGTTGTATTTGTACTCTTGACGCCGTCCCCTCCTGTCTCCTCTGGCTGCCTGCCCCCAGAATCTGCCTCTTTCTCTCTGTGTTTTCAACCTTCCCCTACCTCCCGGCTTCCCCCCAGCATACAAACATACAGAGATATCTCCAAACTTTAAAAAAAACAAACAAACAAAGAAAAACCCCAGAAAAGCCAGCTCTCAAGACTTAATTCTATCATCCCCTGAAGTTGTCATAGCGGTGCGCTGGTAACTTTTTTTAAGGCCGGGGGTTAGTGGGAGGGAAATGGATGGCATGGCATACTTTGAAGTTTAATTTGCATTATTCACATTTTCTCCTCACTTTCTTGAGTTGTCAGTCAATAATACTACACATCAAGTTTTCCAGAGTTTGGGGTGTAAATGCTCACACTGTTAATTTAATTTAGCCACAGTTTTCTGCTGGCTTCAGCACACCCCCAAATCTCTTCGCCCTTTTTTCAAACAGACTCATGGAAAAAACTGTCTCTGTTCCTTGTCTCCATTTTCTTTTCTCCCTCTCTTCGCAATCCATTGCAGTCTGCCTTCTGATCTTATCACTCGATCGAAAGCTGCTGCAGTCTCCAAAGTTACCCCACAATCCCATAATTGCCACATTTGACAGCCTTGCCTTAATCCTCATTCTCCTTGACCTATAGCTGCTTTCGTCATCATGTGCCCAATTCCCTTTGTGGATACACTCTGCTCTGTCCCTACTCTCCTCCTACCTCTCGGGGTTGTTCTTTCTCAATCTCTTTAGCTGGATCATCACCATCCACCCCTTAGTCCCAAGGCTCTGTCCTAGACCTTCACGCCTCTCCTCTTTCCATTGAACTCTCATCAGTTTCTTTTCCTAAGATTGTAGTCTCTATGAAGTCTGGTCTGTCCAAGGCTATCTGGTCTTTCTCCTGAGATCTACCTCCCGGACATTTCCAAACGGGTGGCCAGAGGCAAAGGCCCAAGACTCTCACTGAAGGATCAGGCGGTCTCCTTGCATCGGTGAGCACTCTGCCAGCAGGGGAGAGACAGGCATCTTTCATTATCTTTCTCCCAAAGCACACCCTTCTTCCTAAATTCCCAGTTTACCTAAAAGCTTTAACATCCTTCTTATCTCCTACTTATACAACTCTAGAATCCCTCACTCTTCTCTTTCTTTCATGCCCTAGAAGAATGAACAAATGGAATGGGCGAAGCATTTATTAAGCCCTTAAGAGGAGCAAAGCACTGTGCTAAGCTCTGAAATAAAAACAGAAAATAGCTAGATTATCCATCCAACATTCAGACTGTTCCCAAAGTCTTAGTGAAATTTTAAGCTTTAATCATGTATCTACAATTTAAGCTAAGACAGGACACCCTGCATATCTATTCTATTCTATTATCTATTACATAATGTCTGTAGCAAATCAGTTGTAAATTCTTGTGGATTCTAGCATCCATTTCCTTTCCCTCCATTCATGTAAGTTCTTCTAGTTCAGCCTCTTAACGTTTTTCTCTTGGACCACTGAAATAGCCTCCAAATTGGTCCCTTTGCCTTGCTATCCTTCTATCTCACCATGAATGCATCCTCCACCTAGTCGCCAAAGTGATATCCTTAAAGCACAGGTCTGTCCTTGGCTCTTCTCAGTTGCAGGATATCAATGTTTGGCACTTACAAGTATCTTTTTCTTCTGCAAACCATACATATAAAGCCTCTTACAAATTTCTTAGCTGAGAAAATACTTTAGATGTCATCCAAAACAATGTTATGGCCAAGAATAAGATTTATGTCATAAATATATTAAAATGAAAGGGTTTTTTTTTGTTATTTTGATGAGAAAAATTAGTCCAATTGCCAACATTTTTTGGGAATAATTTTAGTTTATGATATTAAAATAATAATACATGCTGCAAGGCAGGAAGAAAGGAAGCAATTTTACTTATGGGGATAGCTGATTTCAAATATAGCTTCTTACATTCTCTTTCTTTAAAGAAGGAATAATTTTGTTATTGGATTCTAGTCTTCCTCTCTCATATTTCTCTCATTCCTCTAAAGCACAATTTGCCCATTTAACATGATCTATACATGAGTTGATTTCTTTTGAATGCTTTTTTTCCTCCCCTATTCCAATAGGCATTTACTCTAAAATAAATTAGTATCTTTCATTTTTATGCCGCTTTCATTTCTGAATATATTCTTCTATATCCTCAATTCCTCATCAAGCCAACCTCAAAACAAAAAACAGGGAAAGATTAAAGATTAAAAAGATTAAAAAAAACCCAAGCCTGATAATATAGACAGTTTTCCACACTCAGAGTCTCCCCAACCTCTGCAAAGAAGGGAGGGGAGGTACTCTTTCTCAAGTCTTTTTTTTCCGGCTAAGTTTCTTGAGCCTTAATTCTCATAATTACAATAATTGTTTCAATTGTTCAGTGAACTGAATGCCTTTTCACCAACCTTACTTCTTATGTTTTTTTCTTTGAGAATTCACAGATCAAGAAATGAGAGACCAAATATCAGTTCCAGTAGGACAGCTGGTATGAGTATGCAGCTGCCTATACCCTGTGATTGGATTGGTCCCAAGGAGACCTCCCTATGCAAAAATCCCTCCTTAACTTGTCATGGGACCTGAAATTCTATCAATAGAGACTGAGTCCTTAAGGCCTTTTTACCCCAAATCTACAAGAATCCTCTATTTGCTTTGAGGGGTTCTAGATATTCTCTGACAAAGAATAGCAGCCCACCCGGTATATTGTACAAAAGAAACACTTTTACTACATTTAGTATTCAAGAAGCATCAAGGGGTTGGATGCTGAATGCAAATGGTAAGAAATGAGTGGAAAGTGGGCATTGTTGGTAGCAGGGGCTGGCCTGGGGGGTGGGAAGGGGAGAGGGGGACTTGTCATTCTAGTGTGTAATCAGTTTTGTTTTAAAAAGAGACCATGTGACTTTTTTTTTTACTGAAATGAATTATTTTTTAATTCTTCCATACAAGAAACATGTCCCCAAAACATATACTTGGATGCCCATCAATTGGGGAATGGTTGAACAAGTTGTGGTACATGAATGTAATGGAATACTACTGTGCCATAAGAAATGATGAGCAGGCGTACTTCAAAAAAAAAAAAAACCTGGAAAGACTTACATGAACTGATGCTGAATGAAATGAGCAGAACCAGGAGAACATTGTACCTAGTAACAGCCACACTGTGCGATGACTGACTTTGATAGACTTGGCTCTTCACAGCAATGCAAGGATCTAAGTCATCTTCAGAAGACTCATGATGAAAATTGCTATCTGAATCCAGAGAAAGAACTATGGTGTCTGAATGCAGATGGAAGCATACTATTTGCTCTCCTTTTCCTTTGTTGTTTTATTGCCTCATTTTCGTGGTTCCTTCCATTAGTTTTAATTGTTCTTTACATAATGATTAATGGGAAAATATGCTTAATATGAGTAGAGCCTATATCAGATTGTACACTGTCTTGGGGGGTGTGTGAAAGGAGTGGGAGGAGAAGAAATTTTAAAACTCAAAATCTTATGGAAGTTAACATTGAAAACTAAAAATAATTTAATTATCAAGAAAAAAACAAATACTTGAAGAATTTACTTGCCTTTCTTCTTTGCAGAAGTGGAGCGCTACAGGGTGTGGAAACTGGCATACATAATCACATCCTTGGGCTCTACTTCTGCTCGAGGGGTATATAGTGGCAAGCTGCACTGCAGGTGGAACACAGACTTCCAGTATGTTGCTCTAGAATGAATCACTCATATGGGTCAGTTTCCTGGGGAAACTGTGTCCTGGAGAAAGTGGCCTTCATATAAGGTCCTAGAAAGAACCTGGCATCCCTCTTGGCCTTATAATACCAGAACAAAGAGCCATATTAGAATAGATGTGATCAACATGTGACATATGTAGACTGATACCATAATTAAGGCTATGGGATTTGAAAAATATTCATGAATCCCAGATCATACCGTTATGGCCCTCCCTGAGAACACAGCCCTTTTCTTATTTCTAGGCCATCTAAAATCAAACTTATTAATAGGGACGCAGTTTAAGTGGAAAGAGCGGTAAGCTTTAGTTAGTTAGATAGACAGACAGATAGATAGACATACAGATAGATAAATAGTGCATTTTATTAACTGGTTAGTCTGAGCCAGGCACTTCACGAAACCTTAATTCACCAATGTAACCTTGGGCAAGTTCCTTAGCTTCCCTGGATCTTAGTTTCCTTATCTATAAAACAAAGGGACCAGGCTAGACAATTCCAAGCTCCCTTCTAGCTCCAGATCTCTGGCCGGATGGTCTGTGAAATACAGGCATTGAACTTCAGGACCTTTAAGGTCTGAACTCACTCTAGATTCAGGATTCCTCTCTTGTCCTGTGTATGCTGTCACTCCTTGCCAACAAGAAGTCAAATTTAATGATCCAGAATAACAGACAAAGATCAGGAGAAAAATTCCACCTTCAGGATAAAAGCAAGCATTACTTCGGGGGTTACCCGTCATGATCTGTCATATGGAACAGAGATCACAAAAAAATATGAGGAGCCAATCACTCACTACTGGGAGCAAAAGGCCCTTTTATCTGGTATGTGAAAGTGGAGGCTACCTGACTTGCCTGGAGATATGCAAGGGCAAAGGAACAGGAACAACAGAGGAATGGTTGGAGGCTAGAGCCCACTCACCCTCCCTGACAGTGGCTACAAGTGATGCTTACAGATCAGGACAGCCCGTCGACCCTCTCATCCTGGGGCTGGGGCTAACCACCCCCCTAAGCTGAACTGGGAAAGGGATGAGGAATGTTGCCAGCTTGTGGGTATAGTGGCCTTCAGACAGTGGCAGGGAGAGGGAGTCCACGAGAGCCTATCCAGAGGTTGCTCCCACCCTGGTGCATCAGTGCTACACGGATGCCCTAAGCTTCTCCGGGCCTCCTGGGCAGCTCTTTGCTCAGGGGACTGGGGGTCATAGGAGGTCGAGGATCAGAGAAGTTCAGGTCGATCAACTAATTTGCTAATCATTTAACAAGCACTTATTAATAGTCTATTACGTCCCAGGGATACAAATAAAAACAATTCCGGAGTCCCATTGACAAGGAACCTAATGAGAGGACGTCTAAAGGGGGTGACGTGGTTTCCCCCGTGGGGAGCTGACAAACCAGCAGGAACCCCCAAGTTTTCTCTCTCCCCCCTCCATTCACTGACCACGTGTCGGGGAAACCTGATAGTAAAGAGGCCCCCGATTTCCCTAGCTGCCCCCAGGGGCAGGCCCCCTCAGCTCAGTCCGGGGCTCAAGGCCCGCGATGCTCATCAGGGGCCTGCGGTCACAGGGGGGAGTGAATTAGCCTTCCCCGTGGACCTCAGGTTGACCCCCCCCCCGAGTTCTTCATCTCTCCAACCCAGCATCCACTCGCGGGCCTCGGTGCAGACAGTGAATGGGGCGAACCCTGCCCAGAGCTCCGCCAGACATGTTTGTTAAGAGAGTGAGGGGCAGCAGGGTCAGAGGGGGCACCAGCGGCTTCGGCCACGCGCTGTCCAGTCTACTTGCCTGCCTCCCATCCCCACCATACTCGGGAAGGCGAGGGATAGAGGCGAATTTGGAAACGCACCTCTCTGGTTTTACGCCCTGCTCCCCGGCAAGGTGCAGAGCCGGAGGAGCACCCCTCATTAAAAGGATGACCAGCATCCCAGCCCAGGCATTAGAAAGGGAAAAAAAAAAAAACGAAGCCTTGACCCCGACGTGATTCGAACACGCAGCCTTCTGATCTGGAGTCAGACGCGCTACCGTTGCGCCACGAGGTCCTGCTGAGTAACGGCGCGCAAGAGCTCTTAGAACCTCGCCGCCCCGCCCTCGCGCTTGCTCAGTGCGGGCCGGCTCCCTCGGCTACCCCGCCCTCCGTCCGCCTCAGGCGAGGCGGGGAGGCTGAGCGGGGCTCGCTGCTCCCGCTCTTTCTTAGCCTGGCCGCGGGGGCCCCAAGGCCCCGGTCCTAGCGTCCGACTTGCCCAGCTTGGGGCGGCGGAACAGACAGAGGGACATTCCAGCCGTCCACTCTCCGCGGGAGGCGGCTTCTGTGCTTCCCGCCCGTCCGAGGCGCGCTCCCGGCGCTCCCGCCCCGCCCTTCCCGGTGGTGCGCGCGCGCCCCCGCCGGCCCGCGCCTGGGTTCCCGGCTTTATACTGGTTACTGTGGTGGCGCGCGCGAGACCCAGAAAAGCACCACTCCCCGGCCTGCCTGGGCCCCCGCCCCCACGACCTGCCCCCTTCATGTAGGAGGGCGGCGGGCGCCTGTAGCCTCCACCTCACTGATTTATACACACAGGACCCCAGACTTAATCACTATTGGTGCGCAGCTCGGTACCTTCTCTGAGAAACTAAATTTAAATCAATTCTGGGTCTAATAAAAAAGTGAGCCAACATCCTCCCCGTCGGGGAATTGAACCCCGGTCTCCCGCGTGACAGGCGGGGATACTAACCACTATACTAACGAGGAGCTGGTGTCTCCTTTCCCTTCCTCTGCACAATTCAAGGCTCTGATAAGCCTTCCTCCTCCCCCCCCCCCAAAGTTGCGGCCAGGCGCAGCCCTGCTTCCGGCACATTTAGGCCTTCGAGGGACGCCATGCTGCTGCTCAAGGACGCCATGCTGGCTCCGAGGGGCGCCGTAGTGGCGCGGCTTCTCCGGGGCCTAGGCGCCCCGGCGCAGGCCCGAGGCCTGGCCGGGCAGGGGCCGCAGCAGGGCGGCGGCGGCAGCAATCCCACCACCTACGACGTGGTGGTGGTGGGCGCGGGCATCCTGGGCCTGGCCGCGGCCCGGGCCCTGCTCCTCCGGTGGCCGCGCCTCCGCGTGGCCGTGCTCGAGAAGGAGGCGGGCGTGGCTCAGCACCAGACGGGCCACAACAGCGGAGTCATCCACAGCGGCATCTACTACACGCCCGGCTCGCTGAAGGCCCGGCTGTGCGTGCGCGGCGCTGGCCTCCTCTACGCCTACTGCGACCAGCGCGGCCTCCCTTACCGGCGCTGCGGCAAGCTCGTGGTGGCCGTGGAGCGCGCCGAGCTGCCCCGCCTGCGGGCCCTGTACGAGCGCGGCCTGCAGAACCAGGTGCTCGGCCTGCGCCTGCTGCAGCCGCCCGACATCCAGGCTCGGGAGCCGCACTGCCGCGGCCTGCTGGCGCTCGAGTGCCCCTCCACGGGCATCGTGGACTACGCGCGCGTGGCCGCCGCCTTCGCCGAGGACTTCCAGGAGGCCGGCGGCTCCCTCTTCACCAGCTTCGAAGTGAGCGGCATGCGGCTGGCGCCCGACCTGTCCGGGGCCCCCATTGTGCTGCGCTGCGCCCGCGGAGCCCACGTGCACGCGAGATTCGTGGTCTCGTGTGCCGGCCTTCACTCGGACCGCGTGTCCCAGATGAGCGGCTGCAGCCCGCAGCCGACCATCGTGCCCTTCCGCGGGGACTACCTGGTGCTGCGGCCCCACAGGACCCACCTGGTGCAGGGCAACATTTACCCCGTCCCCAACCCCGACTTCCCCTTCCTGGGCGTCCATTTCACGCCCAGGATGGACGGCAGCGTCTGGCTCGGACCCAACGCCGTTCTGGCCTTTAAGCGTGAGGGCTACGGTCCGCTGGACTTCTCAGTGCAGGACACGTGGGACTCCCTCCGGAACAGCGGTCTGCTCAGGCTGGCCCTGGGCAACATCTCCTTTGGCCTGGGCGAGATGTACCGAGCCTTCTTCCTCCCCGCCACCATCAAGCAGCTCCAGAAGCTTGTCCCCGAAATCAGCATCAGGGACGTGGTCAGGGGCCCCTCTGGAGTCCGAGCCCAGGCCCTGGACCACCTCGGGAACCTCGTGGAGGACTTCGTGTTCGATGGAGGCGCAGGGGCACTGGGAACCCGAGTTCTGCACGTGAGAAACGCGCCGTCCCCGGCCGCCACCGCCTCCCTGGCCATCTCCGAAGTGATTGCCGATGAAGTGGAACAGAGATTTAAATTATAAATCATGTAGGGATAGGCCTATGTTGTTGGACTAGGTTATTCTGAAGAAAAAATTGGTAGCCATGTGAAGTTTTGAGAAAACACTAAAATGTGA